TATATATATATATATATATATATATATGTGTGTGTGTGTGTGTGTGTGTGTGTGTGTGTGTTTTCATTATTCCTGTCAAACACAACAAAAACAAACATGAAATAACTCACTCACATTCCATTACAGCAATGCTGTACAACCAAATAAACTCAGATATGCACAGGGGAATGTGACAACTTGAGCTATCTGTGAGAGGCCTGATTATATATTTTATTGAACAAAGGATGAATGATGTGTAGTCATCATGAATTTGTAAAACGTGACATGTTTTATATCCAGCCCTATGGGGAGATGATTGGATCCATGAAGTGAAAATAAATGTAAATGTAAATTGTCAGTCTTTCTTTCCTGGACTGTTCACAATTTCCATTTAACTCAACTTTTTTATGCATCTAGTCTCACCATAACTTATTACTGTACAGTACAGACAACCCTTTCACAGCTTGCACCCTGCATTCCACCTGATACTAAAAAACAACTTCATAACAAGATAAAATGTCAGTTTTACATTACAGTGTTGGCCTTTTGTCACAAAACACACAACCTGTATATTACTGTGTAATACACTTCTGGCCCAGTTCATATTCCTTTCTTTTACATATAACTTAACTAACCAATAAACTGACAAATCTCCCGCAATAAAAGTTTTACATTCATTGCTTCATCATATCGTGCTGTGTCTTTGGGTTGGTTGCTGAGACACTTTTCTAATGTGTCCAAAACAATGAGCAACGATTCATAACAGTTGAGTTCCATATCAGGTCCATGAGGTCGTGGTCCTGACACTACAGAAAGAAACTGAAACAAAAACAGTGCAAGTTTAAAACACATTCATAGCTTCCATGCAATATTACCTAAAGATACCTTACACAGGGGTTTCATTGTGATTGTTTTGGAACTTGAAGTTTCGGAAGCAGTAAGATTGTGGTCTTCTGGGTTATGATACCATGCAGTCTTACAGATGGAGGTAGCAGGTTCCTCCAAAATGCTGATAACCATTTATGGGTCTACAAAATGTCACAGTCCAGAAGACAAGAATCTTAGATCAATCCTTTTCTTCTTCTGAGTAAAGATTTAGGTTTACTCATTTCCATTTAGTAAACCTCATTTGAGCATTTCATAAAATATGAAATAAACCTGCCAAAATTGGTAGATACATTATCACTGCAGTTATGTTATAAACTAACATTCTTCGCCTTGGTTACCGCAAAGAAACAGGTGAAGAAAACAATCAAGCAAGGGGAAAGGGTGAAAATATTGTGAATTTTTGACCAGTAGTGTATGTTACCAATAAGCCCTGGAATTTATCTGAACGTCTACAATACTGTTAGAGATAATCTATCATTCACTAATTTAAAGAGAAAAATTATTGTACTAAATTATATTAAATTCAGAGGACATCAACTGAGAAATGTCGATCAAGGGAGGCAAGTGGTCTGAGACATGCACTGTCTTCGCTTGCTCAGAAGCTAGGATTATGGGTTCGAATCCCACTCAGGGCATGGATGTTCAGTGTTTGTTTGTGTGTGTGTGTGTGTGTGTTTGTGTAGAGGTAGAGGCCTTGTGACGAGCTGAACACCCACCCAAGGAGTCCAACCGAATGTGTAAGATCTAGTAAACCAAACTGAAATGGAGAGTTTCCTGGTGGTAGGCCAAGGCCCAAATTGCAGCTGTAGCACCATGTGGGGGGGAAGGAACTGAGAAATAGTTATGTCCTGTCAAATACTGATATCATTAGAAACATCAAATGAGCAGTCCCTAACCAATAATTACAGTACCTACTTTAGTACCCAGTTTCTACTTGAGTCCCAGCCACTATTTACAATTGCTGTGCTAATGCCTAGCTATAATTTGAGTCCAGACAAGGTCTGCACATATCTCAGGTAACAGGCTGTATAAAATTTTCATGAAGATGCACAGATTTGTGCTCCTGTTACATTATTACTAGTGCACAACCCATTAAGAGATTAGGGGCAAAATAATTTCTTCTGTCCTATCCTTTCCTTTTCTTTCCCTTCCTTTCTTTCCTTTCCCATCTGTTTCATCTGTCCATTCCATCTGTTTCAATTGTCCATCCTACCACCATTCTCTTCTACATATCTTAGCAATGGCGCAACTGATTTTTCCTCAAGCATGAAAGTAACTAGCTATTATTCATACATATATGTTTCAGTTCTCCTTTCATTAATAAAAAAAAGCAAATTTCTCATGTTGGATATTTCTTTTTTATTTTGGCTCTTAGCTTTTGGAGGTTGATGAAACTTGTGCAAGCCTGACCTTGATAATTAGTCAAACAGACCACTACTTACATCATGTCAAGTGTCAGAAGAGACTGAATAGTTGAACAGTGATGGATTTTTTTCCAAATCACAGCTGACATAAACAGTGAAAAGCACTTCTGGTCACTAAATTGAAGTTGAATCATAGTGAAGCTGTATACAATTTATTATAAAAAAATGTAAAGCTATCCCTGTAACAGGCCACAGAGGCAAATAGGAATCGAACCCATGACCTTCCAGCTTTTAGCATAGCGCCTCAACAAACTATGCTACCCCATCTCCGATATAATTAATTATGGTACCAAATTTTTACATGTTTTGAAAGCTGCAAAGCTATTTTATGCTTATTCTGTACCTGCATAGATGATTTTATTGAAATTTTCACAGATAAGTATGGAAAGAAAGGTGACAGCACAAATACATATTAAAAACAACAATATGTATTGCATTTTAGAAGACATTCTTATTAAACAAAACTAATAAAATGTACTGAATTCCTTACCAGTTCATTAACACGTTGTAATATTTTTGTGAGACCAGAGATGACAAGTGAAAAACGGTGTCGGCTGATTTGAACCAGGCATTTCTTGTTTTGCTCTTCATTTACACGGGAATGAGTATTTTGTGGTCCTGTACGACATGGCAACTGAAAGGAAAACACAGTAACAGGTATAACTCTATGTTACATGACAGAAAATTGACAGCAATGGTGTAACTACAAACATGTATACGGCACAAAAGAAGTTATCTATATGTGTTATGGTCAGATCTCCTTCTGCCCATCTGTCCGACTCTATTTCTCTCACATGGTAAAAAAATGGTAAAGACAACCCCAAGAAAATTATTAATTTTGCTATTTCATTCATGGGTTCAAATCTAAGCCAACTTCTTTACCCATTACTTCCTCCATACAAAAAGCAATGGGATAATGGTGACAATGAGCATGTAACCATCATGTTTTATAGAAACCATAGCAACCAGACATGTTTAATTCATTACGGTGTGATGTAGTTTCATGTTCATTTATCTGAACATAACTTAGCTGTGTTCGAGCATTCTTACTATGACCACAGACAACAGACAACTGTGTGGTGAGCAAGAGCTAGTCTGGCTACAGTCAGAGTCAAATATGTCTCCTGCAGAGGTTGGTATCTGTAAGTCCCACTAGGTCTCAAGAGTGGTCTCTACAGCTGCTCTCGACCTTCTCCTATGTCTCTCCCATGTAGCAGAAACTGAGGCCAAGACCTCAACTTACAGGCTAAGGGGCATAGGTATATGATCTGACAGGGATTCAGATGCAGGTCATGCCTTAATGCTCCCCAGACTATGGCACCAGACACTGCTTTTAAGTTGAAAAGTTATGCTCCTCTGGGTCCCTGGTCATGGTAGAATTCAGGGTAATGAGGATGTGGCTGGCTTGGCTAGAGAGGAACTGAAAACACTCCTCAGTCTCAAACCAGTAATTTCAGTCTCACTTTGTGTCTGTTGGCTCAAGGTGGATAGAGTGGGTGAAGGAGAGGCACTCTGCACCAGGTATTCAGTAGCTGAAGGTCTTCATTGAAGGGTCTATAGATAAAACGTCTAAGGGCACAGTGGGACAGGAAACAACATAGGCTGGTAACAGGGCTGTAGACCAACCACTGGACACTGAGCTGGCAGCTACACATTATGGGCCTTTCAGAAAATGCCAAGTGTAAGAAACGCAAACAGGAAGAGGAAACCTCCTGCCATATAGTTTGCCTATGCCTAGCTCTGGCTAAACACAGAGTACAGTTCTTTGACTCTGCATGACAACAAATGACAGACATCAGGAGGGTCCTGGCTCTAGCTTTAAGGTCAAAGCCCTATCAACATCAGCAGCACACAATGAACCCAGCAGTGGCCTGAATGCTGGGGGGCACTTGACAGTTGTCTCCTCTTAGTCAATACTAATACCAAATGGCATGGTCTAATTTGAGACACTATCCAAGAATTTGACTGGAGGGAATGAAGAACACCATGAAAACAATCAGTCATGACAGCCGGTGTCCTTGCCTGGCCAAGATTCAAACCAGGCACTTCAAAAACATGTTCAAAAGCTACATTGGTATCTAGAAGCATTATCTTGTAACACCACAAGTCACAAGCATTAGGTGTAAGTTTATCAGAGACATGTGACATGATGAACATTATTTCAGTACAATATGTTTTTAGTTTAGTTTATTTACTGATGCTGTCAGTAACTGAGACCATAGTATAAAATGACTGGATGGCAATGAATAATGAACTGAAAAAGGTGTAGAAGAAAGCAGTCATGGCCTAAACTAAGGTACCTTAATTTAAGTACCATACATAATTTAAGGTGCTTGAAGTTTATAAAAAAAATGTGGTTTCATAATTCAAATAACTTTGGGCTTGTTTAATCAAAATCACTAAAGTAAAATTTTTCAAATATTTTCAAGTGTTCTCAGTACGAACAAGGAAATATTTCTCGAATACCACAAATAAAATATTTACAGAATATTTGCCCTTTGCTATCAGCTTTCAATTAGGGCACCCCATAATTTCCGAAAGTAATCATAACGGCATTTTTAGTATTGTCCATTTACGTGTTAGGGGAAAAAAACAATTACATGTATGTGGCTAGTTTAATGACATCAATGCAACAAAAAAACACGATGTCAGTGCGTATCGATAAGTAATCTACGCATGAACGAATCAGCGGCTGAAATGAAATAACGTACCTTCATACCGTTCATACCAACCATTCATTCGTAGTTCCCGAATTCCCCCCTCCACATCCGGTTAACCCTGCCCATTCATAAAACAAGCTGCAAATCATTGATTTTTTATTACATCCCTTAGAGTATCCGAAATTGAACTATTCAAGCAACATATGGCATGCTTTCTAAACTAGCACAGTACCTGTTCTTCGAATCGTGTGATTAAAGCCGACACCCACTCAACCGGCTTCTGAGTCCCCATTCTATGTAAAGCAAAGCAATCATCAGCCAACAGTTTCACACCTCACCACCTTTTACCGCCATTTTGTAATGGCTACCGATCTCTACTCCGTCTAGTCTTCCGTGGATCAATATATGCTCTACCAACCATACATCACGGAGAACAACCAACAAGTAAACGCAGAAGGGCGACTCCGAGTTGCTTGCATTCGGTATGAACGTTGCTCGCTCCAAGTCCCTCTGGGACACTCCGCGTTTTCCCAGTACCAGAGATTGTACGAAACTGAAAGGAAATTTAGACACTCGTGTTTCTAAAATGTGCTGTTAACAGAAACCAAATAATGTATCCTAGTGCCTAATCTGGCATCACTCCATGAAAATATATAGGAATTTAAATATATCCTATAGTATTTTTAACCTGGTACATAAGGGAAATGAGTAACCAGCTTCATGCCCAAGCCACTTCACACTTGGGGAAAGAGCCCCTAGTACCCACTGGACAGGAAGCTATGTGAGCCCAAGAACCACTCTGGATGCTGTGAAGCAAAAGAAAAATCATTTGCCCCTTCTGGGAATTGAACACTAATTCCTCCATCGCCCAGCCTGTGGCCTAGTCTCTGTAACGACTGAGCTATCCCACATCTATTAATTCAGTAGTTATCTCAAAAACAGACTGCAAAATGTTCTGAAAATAAATTTGTTCATGTACTTCCTCAAGCACCAAGTATCATACCATGCAGGTGTATGTGAGTGGGGATTGTTCTCTACACTTTCTTATACCCCTTCCACTACAAGAATAAGTCATTCAGCAACACCAAAGATGAAACCAAAAATGTCAGATTGATTGTAAATTGAAGTACCACCTAATCTCTCTTTGGATGATGTTTGCTGTTAAGTTTCTGACCTTTTCCCCATTAGCTGATAAAATTAATGTGATTACTGCCTAAATAAATATTATTAAATTATTCACAACAGCACATCCACATGTCATTCCAGCTGTTTCAGTTCTTAAAACAGGAAGTGCAACTCCCCTTCCTACTTACCTGAAAAGCCTTACCGGAGAAAAGTTTTCCATTATAACACACAATTACTGCATGAAGAACCCTAACATCATTCGAAGTTATGCTCAGTAAAGCAGCATGAAGCTAATACTATTAAAATATACTGGTAATGTGGCAATTTTGAACATAATTCTAAAGACAGTCGCCAGCAGCTCCTGATATCAGTTTGAAAAGAGGATAGGTAATGGTAGGTGTTCAGTGTAAATCAGGATTCAGCAAAGTAGCACATTGTTTAACCTATGTTTTAGTCTTCTTCACTGTATAATTTGATCAAGACAAATTTTTTAAATCCACTGTTGTTAATTTCTTTCTTTCAATTTTCATTTCGTGCATCCTGTTGTGTTACAATATACAACTCTTTTATTGACGGTCAATAAAAGAGTTGTATTCTTTCTTTTATTAATTCAAACATGACTGCATGTCAAAATAATTACTATATTTCTGGATTTGTCATTTGGAAGTTGATACTTTATTAAATACTATTTTTTTTATTGCTAGTGGGGTGGGACTAAGTCCCTTGTACTGTGGCCACTTCTGGCCTATTGTACCAGCCCCAGATGATAGGTGAGGGTGATTGTGGAGCAATTGGTGGAATCAAGATTGCCAGGGGAAACCGAAGTACTTGGAGAAAACCTACCCCAGCGCCACTCTGTCCACAAAAAAAAAACCACTTGACCAGACCCGGGATCGAACCAGGGCCGTTGCAGTGGGAAGCCAGCGACTAACCACTTGACCTATGGCACAGACCTTTATTAAATACTAAGTTAACAAAAATAATTGTAGAAGTCATCTTGTCTCAAATTTGGCTACATCTCTTATTGCCATGGGTCTGATCAGTAATATAAGCTCATTTACTATAAATGCCCCCTACATCTGCAATCATATGCAATTCATCAAGAGAAAATGTTCACTCAGTGCTGTGGGATCACAACACAATTCACACAATTCCCTTAGACAGGCAGAAACATTTGCATATTTGCATGCTGTCATGAAGTATGGATAAATTATGCAGATTTTTAACAGCTGTATGCCTGTGGTTCTGGACTTATGGCACACCTATAGAATCTTGCTCAGGAGGACTTTACAAGCTAAAGAATGTATGCATAATGTAAAAACTGGAATGTCAATAAATTTCAATATAACTCTGTTATATCAACTTTCATTAATATATTTTTATCCATTCTCAAGTTGTGTCGTGTATACAGATGAATGGGCACACAGGGATATTGATTCTAATATAGGCATTCTGAAGGGATACAATGGAAGTGTGTAAGGACAGCTGGGAGGAGAGAGATCCATGTGGTTGAGAGTTTGGTTCTGCATGATGATGGGTATTCAGCTTCAAACTCAGACACATCTCCCACTGGGACCAGAACAAATGAACACAAGGATGCATGGACACTAGAGGTGGTCTACCCAAAAATGTGAGGTAAGAAACTTCTATTCCTATCAGCAATGGAACTCTGGCCATGAGACCTGTAGCTACCAGGTTCTTTACTGACTACACTGTACTCAACTGCAACAGTTTCAACTGACAAATGTTCAAGGCTACTCGAAGTTCACATATTTAAAATATATCACTTCCAGTTTTCAAGTATAGCTAATAATTAAGTAGCAATATTTGTAACAGTTTCTTGGACATGCAAATTCCAGTACCCACAAGGGCACTCTGCTGTTTACAGAACAACACAACATAATATTACCACTTAATACCTGTTTTATTTATCCACTGTTAAATGAATGTATAATTCCTTCAGTATTACATTTGACATTTGTAAATGCAGCACTTGTAAACTAAGTTCATAATTTTATTAAGCAATGACAATAGTATGGGGCATGTGGTAGTGTAGTGGTTGAGGAGCTATGCTACAAGATGGAAGGTCGCAGGTTCAAGTCCCAATGAGGTCATTGGATTCTTTTTTCAGTTGACCTAATACTTCCAGCCACACCAGGCCCTGGGGTTTACTCAACCTCTAACAGAAATGAGTACCAGGAATTAATTAAATAATTTTCCTGGGGAGTAAAGCATGGCCACCGCGTAGGGCTGACAACCTTACCACCATCTTTGAGCCGACTGTCTAGACAATGTGAAACCCTCAACGTCTCACAACCCTATGGGCCTTCACGGCCTGGTACGGGGATAGCTTTTTTTTTTACTTTAATGACAACAGTATATGTAAGTTGTGTTGTCTACATGAGCACTGTATATAACTGCAGTCGATTACATACAACAATTTATTCCTGCAATATGATTTGACCCTTTATCACAATGAGACTGCACCTCATTTTTATGGTAACTGTTGCTACTGCTACACATCAGCCAATGTGTACAAGTTTGTTCTAAATCTGTATAAAATATTAATTACTGGATAAAATTGTTGTGTGCACTGTAATGTAGCTAAGTTACTGTTGCACATGTCTCCAGTTCAGTGTTAAAATTCACTATAAAATTCCTTTTTAAGTCTTTGATGTCAATGATCTTATTTGTTATAATTAAGATATTATGATAAATCATCACATAGCTGTAGCGTTCGTAATTAACTGAAATTACATAGTGGTTGTGTAGACAGCATATCCTATGTATACTAATGGAAAACACAATACGTAATTTAATTGACTGAAAACTTTTATTTTCAAAACCATGTAATATATTGTGTACATAAACTTAGTTTTCACAACATAAGTACTCTGCCAGTATTTCAACAAAACTATACATATCAGCCTAGAACTCTAGATAATAATACATATATTAGATACACCAATAAATAATTTAAATTTGGTGTGAGAACTATATTACACCTACACAACAACACAAAGAAGGCACATATCAGCAGACATACCAATATTTACATATGCGTTCTACAGTAACAATAAACCAGTTTGTTTAAACACCATGAATTTTAGACATTTCACCAACACAAACTGGTGAATTGATCTTAAATATAAAACTCTATTCTGAGCAGAAATATGGAAAATAAATGCACATGGAAATTTATGTATTTTATTGGCTTTAAGGTCAAGGATACTGTATTTCAAATTAATTCATACTCAATTAAGTGCATTGGTCAACCCAACACTGAAATGAAAATCCAGCCCGGGTACCCTTGAAAAGAAGGTAAAAATACAAATCATAATATGATTAATTCAAGTCCAACACTGTGTATTTGTTACTTATCTCACTGACTGGCTGAAATACTTCATATATGGTGAAGTCAACTAAATATTCCCAAGTCTTTTTGATGCCTATGTAAATTAGCTGATATCACATAAGTATCATCTTTGACGTGAATTTAACCCTTATCAACTATGCATCACACAACTGTGCTGGTTCATGATGGACCAGCAGGCCTAGCATCACACTATCTACAATATGAATTCCAGTACTGCCAGGTTTAAATCCAGCTGCCACTGATGCAGTAGCAGAAGATTGAAATCCTAAAAGTAGAGGCCAAGTAAGATATAAAGAGATTGTATGTCTTCCACATATCCTGGTTAATTAGAATGTGGAACATGTCAGTGTACAAACACAATAAGGAAACCACAGTAGAAGTACAAGACATAATACACTTAATTCTTTATGCAAACAAGAATTCCCAGTAAAACATTCCATCAGTACCTGTCCACAGCATATATAGATGAATGGTGAAAAGATAAGTAAACCTCCAAGTGCATGAAAATAATGTATGATGGAAATATGACCCATCTTCCCAACCAAATTTCATCTCTCAAACTACAGAATTCACTAGGATGTTTTAAAGGCATATACCATAAAGTCAGTGAACAAGTTTATGGTTCATCATATTACACTATTACAGCTCCCACTTCACATGAGGGCTTCATTCTTGAATTCTAATAACAATAGTTATTTAACATTTTTGTAACATAAGTTCTATAAATAAATATTTTCACATCTTTAAACATTTTAAAAGACATTTAAAGTTTTTGAGAACATGAACTAGCACTTGGCCCACACTGATGGATTTAGTAAAATGTGATGGAGTTGACACTTATTATAAATCGCTGATAAAAAACACAAAGGATACATCTGGAAACTGTTAACACTGAAAAAGACTGCAACTTTCCACATTATTATTTTTATTTATTTATGAATAGAACCTAAGAGGGCCAGTTTTACAAATTCCAGCCCAAAAAAATTTACTTTATAATATTTTTATTACCACAA